TCCTTTCTTCACGCCTATTTGTCTGTCTGTCTGTCTCCATTCCCCTTGCCAAGCCCATCTCCACCTGGGTTAATGAAGCAGGCCAAATTGGGCCCCCTTCTCATTCCACCCCCACCTCCTCAGCTCCCCCAATACACTCAGTCCCTCAGAGGGGCCATCAGAAGCCCATGACCTGGTGGGTAAGCAACCTGAGGGCAGCACGGTCCCCTCTAGGTCTCTGGGGCCCAGCACCAGCGCTGCCCCAGATCAGGGTTTGGAGACAGTCCAGGGAATGGCCCAAGGACTCCTTACCCAGCACCAGACCCGAAGCCCTGGCTGGCGCTGACTGCACCCTCGGTGTGCTCAGCCCCGTGCACAGCCGCAGGTGGCGGCCACGTTCATGCTCACCTGGCAGAGGAAGAAACTCAGGCACTGAAAGCAGGAGTGACCGGGGAGGGGGAAGGGAAGTGCCAGCCTGGGAGACCCAGAAGCCTTATTCACCACCACCCTGCAGCCGCACATGGCCCATCTGAGCTGGAGAGCAGCTGGGCAGCTGGAGCAGGCCTGGCCAAGGGCCTGGTAGGGAGAAGGAGGAGGAGAGAATGGCCTCTGTATGGGGGAGGCCTCAGTTTAGGTCAAAGTCCAGCTGTAAGGAAAACAGCTGTGGGAGGGAGTTGCCAGTCACCCAAGAGCCAGCTCTGGGGCCCTGTTGCTATCCCCCTCCCCCAACACACACACACACACACACACACACACACACACACACACACGTGCTCACATGTGCATGCAGCAACCCCAGCCCCCCAACTAGCATAGTCCAGGCTTCTTGCTGGGCAACTGTGGTCCCAGGGGGGGGCCTTGGAGCATCCCTGAAGGAGGCAGGCCCACTCAGTGTGTCTAGCACCCTCCCCCAGCTCCCTGCAGCTGGGAGGAGTTTGCAAACAGATGCTCAGGCTGCCAAGAGGCCCTAGGCCACACCTGGGGTGGGCCTCTGGCCTGCAGCAAACTCAGACCAAATATGCCCAAGGCATGTCACAGCTGCTGCTCTGTGCACACATGTGTTTGTGTATCTGACGTGTGTATACGTGTGTGCACAGGTATGTGTGCTCACACATGACTCTGGAGCCATCTGTGCCTCTGAACACAGGCATACACGTGTGCCTGCTCTGGCTTATGGCCCAGGCTTGTCACTGCCAGGGTGTGAACACCAGTGGGCCAGGTGTGCCTCAACCTGCCCCACACACACCGGGTGCTACACTGGCACCAGAGGACCTTGACGAATGTTGCTTCCTAGTCAACTAAGTTACAGGGTACCCACCATGTACAGGAATGAAGCTCAAGACAGCAAAATTCCTGCCCTCGACAACCACCAGGACAACAAGAACAGAGAACTGGGGCCAGCACTTCGCACATCTCATTTCATCCCCATTTCACGGAAGGCAAAACTGAGGCCAAAGTATCAACTGACTTGCCCAAGTTCCACATCTAATAAATAAACTGGTGAAACACACAGTACACCCAACAGTGGAAAAGCTATGAAGAAAAAGCAAGCAGAGGCGGAGTGTGGGTGAGGGGCTGTATTTTTAAAGCAGGTGGTCCCAGGTGAGCAGCTGGCCATACTCCCCCTTCCCCAGACGGCACCCCTGGGTTCTGAAGAGTGTCCAGCCAGGAGAGGGAACCCAGGACCTAAAGGTAGCAAAATCAGGAAGCCACTCCCACCCTGTGGGTCCCCAGGGAAAGGTGTGTCACCAGGCCTTTACCCTGGGAAAGGGCGGAGAAGGGGGCCTCAGCCCAAAATAGCCTGGGAATTTTCCACAGGCCATGCAAGTCCTCCTGGAAGGTTCTGAGAATCCCACTGGGCACCAGGCTCCTCCTCAGCCCATAGATTTGGAGGCTGGAGATCCAACCCTGCAGGTCTCCTCTTAACCCCCCACCCGCTCCTGCACTCTCAGCCTAAAAGCCACCAACCACGTCAAGCAGTGGCTCGGCCCAGCCCCAGGGCCAAGCCACTGCTGGCAGGTGAGGATGAGTACTAGCCCACATAAAGGGCAAGGGATAGGGCACTGGAGAACCAGGCATGGGGCACGGAGGCATGGAGGCATGGAGGCAGTGAAGGTGTGATGTCCACCATTCACTGACTTCTGTGTCAGGCTCTGTGCCAGCATTTATATACATTAACTAGATTCACCCCCACATCAGCCCCACAGGGCAGGCGCTTTTATCATCCCCATTTTACAGATAAGGAAACTAAGGCACAGAGAGGTTTAAGCCAGCTCTCCTCACACTTTTGTCAACTCATGAGCCTCAGGGATGGTGTGAAAGTGCTCATTCTGATTCTGAAGGTTGGGGGCTGAGGCCTGAGAGTCTGCATTTCTAAGGTGCACCCAGGGAGGCAGCTGCTGCTGGACCACGGAAGGCAGAGCCCACAGAGCTGGTGGTTAAGGGAAACAGGGTGGGGGGTGGGGGGGTGTTGAGGCTCAGTGCACTGGGGATCCTGGTAAACTAAGGCAGAGACACCCTCCCTTCTCTCCCCTCTCCTCCCTACCTCCACCCCAGCTGAGCCCCAGCCTGGCAGAACTGAGGGCCTGAAGGACTAGCAGGATGGGTCAGCTGAGGCAGGACAGAGGGGCCCAGGAAGCTAGAGGGCCCACAATGAGCCCTATTCCCCTTCATTGTTCCAAAGAGAGCCTGGTTCTGGGGGAGGGATGGGGGAAGGGCAAAGGGAGGGGGAGGAGGTGAGGGGAGGAAAAGGGAGCAGTGGGTAGGGAGTGAAGGATCGGCAACAAGAGGAAAATACAAACAGGGCAGGAGGGTGTAGCCCCAGCCCGTGTCAGGGGCTGGATGAGAACAGCTGAGCCCCATCCCAGGCTGAGCCCAGCTGGCCTGCGCCTGCCCCCTGGGGCCTGAGTGCTGGGAAGAGGTCTCATATCCCGGGACCAGTGTGCTGGGAACCAGAGGCGGGCCGGCCCTGCAGCACTGCCGCCTGACACCCCCTTAGCGCTCCCACCTCACCCTTCCCAGAGATGGTCACCCAGAGCCCTGAGCACCTAGGACCCGGCCCAGCCCAGCTCAACCCCGACAGCTCTTCTGGGAGAGCCCAAGCCCTTGCTGGTAACTGAAGCCCCCCGGCACCCGCACCCGCTGCACGCACTGGGGAGCCCCATCCTTGCCGCTGGGCCCTGGCAGCAGACCTGCTTCGGGTCGCTCTGCTCTTCATGCCCTCTGTGACCCTGCAAGTGACCTCACGGCTCCACGCCTCAGCTTCACCATCTGTGGAATGGGACAGTAACAGTGGAGCCTCCCAGGCCTAGGGACCTGGGGCAGGACAACTACAATGGGCTGGGTCAACCAGAGCCGAGCTGCTCCTGGTGGAACTGTCAGGCACGGGGCCATCTAGAAGGACCCCTCCCATTCCGGTCCCTGCTGGCCGGACACAAACCAAGTCCTCTGACTTTGCCATCAGTGGGACAACTAAAACCCATCCCCTCCCAAGGGAACCCTCCTTCACCACCACCCCCAGACCCCAGGGTCTCCTCAGGATTTGCTGGGGGCGGGAGAGGGGGGCAGACAGGCCAGCACTGAGAACCGGAAGTCACCAGGGGCTCTGGGGAGAGGGGAGCAGCAGGGGTGGGGAGGCCCTGGCCTGGAGTAGGGGCAGGATCACTGCAGGAGTGGGGAAGGCAGTCCAGGCAGAGGGATCTGCAGGGGCAAAGGCCCACAGGGAGGGGTGCGGGCACGGAGAGAAGTGGGGAGGCTCCAGGTGGAAGACAGCAGGCAGCTCTGCTGAGAAGTTTGGCACTAGGTGACAGTGGGCACAGCAGTGGACCATTTTAAGCCTGGGGTTGATTTAAACCAATTATTCTTACAAGTTTCTCCTGGTAAACGGATTGCAGGGGCAAGACTGGGGGCTAAGAGACTGAGAAATATACAACATAGCAAATAAAAACCGTAACAGTCGCTAACCTTTCTCCGGGCACTGGGTTAGCATCTGCTTTTATTCCCACACATTGCCTTAAGGTAGACAAAATTACATCCCCAGTCTATGGAAGGGGAAACTGAGGCTCCGAGGCCCCAGTTTGCAATGAGACACCCCGGTCTATGAGAACGGAGGCCCTGCCTGGAGCGGGCTCATCTGCGCTCCCAGCGCCGCCCCTCCATAAACACACACAGTTCAACACCAGAAAGGCTGGGGGCGGGGGCGAGGGCGAGCAGGGATTGCCTTTTTTTTTTTTTTTGCTTAAAGTATTACAAAGAGGGGTTTCCTTTCTTAAAATCGAAAAAGAACAGTTCATTTCCGGCCTGCAAACCGGCTGCCAGCGAGGCCAGCGGGGAGGGAAGCTGCGGACGCGGGTGAAGTTTTCGGCTCCGCCTAGGGGCCCCCCATCCGGGCGCAAACACACTCGGCGACGGCCCGGCGATTCCTCCCCCGAGAGGCAGC